TAAGCACGATTGTTTTTTTCACCGCCTTGTTTTACTTGTTGAATTCGAGCGGGAGCCGTTACAAACCCGTCGAATTGTTATCGAATCTCAGCATCATTAACGGTAGCAAGTAAGATTTTCTTTTTTTAACGGTTTGACGGCGATATTATTTTAAAAAAAAGAGAAAAATCAATCGAATCCGTGACGAATTTGTATATATAATCGATCAATCGATAATTATTCATCAATAAATTTTTCAGATTGGGAAGTGCCTTCGAAGCGGCAATCAACGGAGTTTTTATGGCCTCATTCAAAATGGCGCTTTTTTACGGTTTGTGGACGTGGTTGATACATAATTTTTTCCAAGTCAGAATCGTGTATTTACCCTCGGGTTGGTTATATATTAACTTTTTTCTTTTTTCTTTTGTAAAATAATTTTTGTGAGAATTTTTACAAAAAAATTTCCTTTTTTTATTTTTCAGTTTTGGCAGCCGTTTTGGGTGCCGTTCCCTTTCTAGGAACGTATTGGGCTTCGATACCGGCAGTATTGGACCTTTGGTTAGCACAACAGAAAGGATTTCAAGCCATAATTCTTTTTCTTTTTCAATGTCTTCCGATATCATTTGTCGATTCGGCTATTTATAGAGAAATTAAAGAGTAGGGGTCGTTTTTATTTATAAAACAAAAAACCTTCACTCGTTGTTTATACGAAAAGAAAGTAATTTTAATTTGTTTTTTTTTTTTTTTTTTAGAGGTCATCCTTACATGACCGGTTTGGCTATTGCCGGAGGAGTTTTTTGCATGGGAATTCAAGGAGCTATTTTCGGTCCGCTTTTACTCTGTTGCCTTTTAGTAGCTTTAAACATGTCTTCTAATTTGTTGAAGGAATCGCCAAGCGATGGATTGACCGCTTTATCCGTACAAAATTTGAGACGGTAAATAAATTATTTGAAATCATTACGAATCATCCCCCTCCCCTCCCCCTTTTTCTCTTTTTGATTTCCGGTCGGGAAAAAAAAAAAAAAAAAAAAAAAAAAACCTTGAAACAATCTCTCTGTTTTCGCCGTCCCCCCCCCCTCAACCCCCCCGGATTGGAAAATTTTTTTCATTCATCACATAAATTTATTTATTTATATTTTTTTAGCTTGGGTCCCATCTTATAAAAAAAAAAAAAATAAAAAAAAATAAAAATACGGTAAATTTATTTATTTTACATTAATTAGTTTTTACTCATTATTATTATTATTATTATTTGTTGGTTTTATGTATTTTTTATGTTAATAATTTTTTTTAAAATTTATTTTGTGTCATAGAATGGGGGCTTTATAAGGGTAGATGTGCTTGTCGTAGATTTTTTTTTCCCCTCTCCCCCTCCCTTTTCTCTGTTGTTGGATAATTTTACCTTTTAATGCATCCAATAAGTTTCTATTTATTTATTTATTTATTTTATTTTTCTATTTCAAACAGGGAGAACAAAAGTGATAAAAACAAATAAGAACAAACGACCTGGATGTAGATGGGGGAGAGGGGGGGAAAGCAAAGATTCGCATATATTTATTATGTTGTTGGAAAATCATCTTCGGTAAGTTAAGTGTTAAAAAATTATTAATAATTAATATTTATTTATTTATTTATATTTTTATAATATTTTTTATATCTATTGTTAACTTCTTATAATTATTTTTTTTTGATATGCTAACAATTTTATCGCGTTGGACCGAACTGGGGTGGGGGTGGGGGGATGAAAAAATTTAAATAACCCAAAGTACTCACTTAAATGAATGAAAGTATTTTTACGTATTATTAAAAGTCTGATGACGTTTACATAACTAATAATAATAATAATAAACTTTTTAAAATTTGGCGTTTAATTGAATTTTTTTTTTTTTTTTTTATGGGTTCCTCTTTTTGAGGGTAGGAATACCAAAATAATAATAATAAATTTTATTTATTTATAAATATGAAAGTTTTTAAAAAGAAAACATTGGAAAAAATTGATTACATAATATTTAACCTTGAAATGATGCATTTATCAATCGTGATACAATATTGATAGTAAATAATAGAAAATGAAAAAAAAAAAAAAATGAAATGCAGCTAATAATAATAATAATAATAATAATAATAATAATAATAATAATAATAATAATAATAATAATAATAATAATAATAATGATAATAATAATAATAATGATAAATTTATGAAATTTTTTCTCTCGATTAAAAAATTTTGAAAATCATTAAATTTATTTATTTATTTA